AATCACGTATATTTACGTCATTACAACATGAGCTGGTTGCTTGGGTCACCAACAAAATATTTAATTTGTTTTTATTACAGAAAACAAGAATTATTTTCTTTAAAAATCTGAGATCTTTGTGATAGTTGAAATATATTCTAAAATGTAATTTTGGTGGATTTAATCAGTTTTCACATATATAATTCCTCTGTTTTTTAATTTTTTTTATAAGAAAGCAATTTTAAATACAATGTTTATTATTATTGTAGTTTAAATTATATAAAATAAAAATACAACGTATATACTACAAACAAAATGTGTGATATCTCGAAAAACTTGCCTTTTTTCGAAAAAAGGTAACAACAGACGCCAAATACACGCACAACACGTATTGTATTTTCAGTGTACTAGAAAAATGTAGTTTGTAGTTTACAATAAAAAATACTTTTTTTTATAAAAAGTGCTTTATAAAATTACATACTACAAAATTCTTTTTCTAAAATCCTTATAACGATAACGAGTTCTGTCTCCAAAAATCTATTTTACAAAAGAAATGATATCAAACAGTAGCACCAAGTAAACTTTTATTACATGTTATTGCATTATTGGAAAGCAATATAAAATAGATAGAAAGTGTGTTACTACTATATACTACAAAAAAATTCTTTATTTACAAAATCTGTTTTACAAAAAAAGTTACTAAAGTTTTTGATTTCCATCAAAGAAGAAAATTAGACAGCAAATAAAAACTTTGCCGGTCCTACTACATTTATTGTTGCATCAACAAAACGATGGTTCCATCACAGAAAACATTTTGAACAGCAAAGAAAGAATTTTGGTTTAATTGTTTATTACATTAACAAAACGATTTGTAAGTGAAACTAACACAAGTAGACCCAGCAAAACTTTAGTTTTCGTTATTATTTACGAGAATATTTATTTAACACAGAGGTGTAACAAAAGAAAAGTTGTTTTTTTTCAAAATAAAAATAAAAAATCATTATCGCAAAAAAACTTGGTGCGGCTGTAAAAGTATCAACAGCCAACTTTTTGCGTTGCTTTTAAACATTGACTTCGTTTATATCTTGACATAATGTATATTGCGTATTTTTTATATTATTGATATGTTCACAATTGCGACTGAAGAAGACTCCAGTTAGAGTCGAAATATTTTGCGTATTTTTTATATTATTTCATGTAAAGCGTTGATCATTAAATCATTATATTATTATATTAATATTTTTTTTTGGCTCGATGTGACTTTTTTCATTTGTTAAGAATTTTGTAGTATGTAATTTTATAAAACACGTTTTATAAAAACAAAGTATTTTTTATTGTAAACTACAAACTACATTTTTCTAGTACACTGAAAATACAATACGTGTTGTGCGTGTACTTGGCGCCTGTTGTTATTTAAATAACGTGTAGTCATTGTTCAACTAAAGAACAAACGTTCCAATAAATATATAACTATTCGTGAATTAGTCGGCTGTGTGTTATCAGTTTACAGACAATAGACGATACGCTCGTACAAATACAAGATACTTTGTCTTAAAAAAGTTGTTAGACTAGCAAAAGTAAGAGAATCTACCTATGACCAACTGACTGTAATCTCTGTGATCATCTTGTATGTTATTATTTTAATTTCTGACTAAAAAAAGTATATGTGTAAATTTATCACATTTATTTGCGTGGAAAGCATAACGCGTATTTTATTTTAGTGTATCTTTAATATCCTAACGTTCTCTCTCTCTCTCTCTCTCTCTCTCTCTCTCTCTCTCTCTCTCTCTCTCTC